ACTGACTTCTGTGCATTGATTTTATATCCTGCTACTTTACTGAATTCCTGTATGAGTTCTAGCAGTTTTGGGGTGGAGTCTTTTGGGTTTTCCCCCCCTTCTTCTTCTTTAAAGGAGATTTTATTGGAGCTCCTGGGTGGCTCAGTCGTCTAAGTGTCTGCCTTCGCAGATCATGATCCCAGGGTCCTGGGATCCAGCCCCATATTGGGGCTCTCTTCTCAGCGGGGAGTCTGCTTCTCCCTCTCCCTCTGCCTACTTGTGCTTTCTCTCTTTGTGTCAAATAAATAAATAATCTTTAAAAAAATAAACTAAAGGAAATTTTATTTAAGTAATCTCTACACCCAACATGGGGCTCAAACTCATGACCCTGAGATCAAGAGTCACATGTTCTTCTGACTAAGCCAGTCAAATGCCCCTCTCTTACCTCCCTCTTCTACTTTTAAAGGCTTGTGTGATTACGTTAGACCCACCCAAATTATCTACGCTGCTCTCCCTATTTTAAGGTCAGCTGATTAGTGCCTTAATCCCATCAGCAGAGTCCCCTCACAGCAATATCTAGTTACTATTTGATTGAATAATCAGGGGACAGGAGTCTTGGGGGCAGAGGGGGTGCATCTTTGGAATTCTGCCTACCACAGTGCCATAATGTATCTACCTCAGTCTCTTTAAAAAGTTTAGAAAGGGGGAGCCTGGGTGGCTCAGTCGTTGAGCGTCTGCCTTCAGCTCAGGTCATGATCCCAGGGTCCTGGGATCGAGCTCCGCATCGGGCTCCCTGCTCGCTGGGAAGCCTGCTTCTCCCTCTCCCGCTCCCCCTTCTTGTGTTACCTCTCTCGCTATCTCTCTCTCTGTTGAAAAATAAATAAAAAAAACTTTAAAAAAAAAAAGTTTAGAAGGGTGAATTAGCATTTCTGAGTCTGATTGTTTGTGGGGTCCTGTTTAAGATGAGTTTCTGGGCCTATAATGCTGAGAGTCAGATCCTGGTCCATAATTAAAGAAAATGCTCCTTACTAAGAGTTCTTGGCAGCCAACTGACTAGCCTTCCCCAACTTCTGTCTAAACACCTTCAGTCTTAAAGTTTCTCCACTAGTTATAAGATTTGGAATAAGATATTTTTATATTAGACTTTATTTTTTTTAAAGATTTTATTTATTTATTTGACAGAGACACAGCGAGAGAGGGAACACAAGCAGGGGGAGTGGGAGAGGGAGAAGCAGGCTT